CATATATATCTCTATATGTGTGTGTTGCTGTTTGTTTCACAGCTTTTTTGTTGTTTTTCTTCGTTCCAGTACAGAAAGTATTTTTTCTGCTGCCAGATTTTTGCCGGTTACTTCTGGCGTTTACAGTGAAGGTGTAAAAGCTCCTGACGTTTCATTTCTGGTTTATTTGTAAAACCTGCCATTTTAACGGGGTTGTGCAGACTTCTTATATCCTCTGAGTGACGGATCTACCTTCTTTCGCAGGACGTTCTGGAGGATTCTGAGAGTTTGACTCGGCTTCGCCTCGACGACGTGATCGACCGATGGAGCGCCGAGTGCGACGCCAAGTCGTGGAAGAAGATCCGACAGTAAGCGTGACGCAGCAGCAGGTGGTCTGATGTCTCGTGAGCTGTTTCCTCTAATCATGTCAAATCCTCACAGGGAAATAAGCAGGACGTTCTCATCCGCCTGCTGCCTGAACAACAGCTTCCTGGAGCAAAGGTTGGAATGAATTTTTATTTATCAGTGATGCTTGAACTGTGTCCGTCTGTTGGTTCTCACTGGAATATCTCTACAGCTACGTGGATTGTAAAATGTTCCCCTCGTGGTTCCTGAATGATAAACTTCAGCGATCTCAGTGACGCCCAGACTTTTATATTCAAATGTAAAACAATGACTTGGTGCAAACTACAGATTTTTGTGTTGAACTTTACTTGCAGCTCTTTGTTTTGACCGTTAACTTGCTAATTAACACGTTTAGATCCACCGTTTGTCGTCACTGTGCAGCTCTGACGAACCTCTCGTGTCTTTCTTCATCCTCCCAGAAGAGACAAACATTTCCAGACTTCACTGAAGTACAGCGGCTTGAACCTCAAACTTGCACGACGAGCTTTTAAGAAGCTGGTGAAGAAGAATGACGTTCGAGCTGAGGTGAATTTTATTTGTCTTAATGAATCTATGAGTGGGTTGACGTCGGTTCTGCAGATCTCAGACAGCACTCCGGCCTCTGTCGTCCTCCTCCAGGTGGAGGCCGCCGTCCTGCAGCTGCTTCCCTCCCTGCAGAAGAAGACGGTGAGCGTGGAGGCTTTGAGGATTTACCTGCTGCTCATCGAGCTCCTGCACGTGATCCAGAAACACACTCGGCATCGCAGCACGAAGCTCGCCGAGGCGGTCGCCACCGCCGTCGCCGGCCTGTCGGCAGAAAGTCTGCAGGTCATCGGTAACGTCGCCACGAAACATCAGCTCCAAGCAGTTTCTGTCTCACCTGATTCCACACAGATCTCAGCATTTTCCTTTGAATTCACAAAGTCTCAACATCCTGCCGACATATTTTATAGTCTTGCTCTAACCAATGAGTCCACATCAAAACAGCACAAAACTGGAACTCAATTCAACAGTTGGTGAAGTGTGACCAAAGAAACATGGACCCATCCATAGACAGTCATGAACAAAAGGTGAAATCCACTTGTGAAGACCGTGTTTATCATGTCGGTCATTAGTTCCCAGTGACTCTTCAACTCTGAATGTTCTCTGATGGAACCATTGAAACACGAATCTTTGTCACCAAAAACAATCCTGTGTTTCTGGAGATATGATGAAACCTGCTGGGTCATAAATATTCATATATCAATACTAATATCTGGTTAGACGTCCATGTTCTCCTCAGTCGGGTTCTTCTGGTTCCATCCACCAGCTTCTGGTCCATCTCTGACTCCTCTGGACAGAACCGCTGCAGTTCAACTAAACTCGTCGTCTTTCTGACTCAGACTTGTTCCTTCATCAGTCCACAGGTTCTGGATGGTTCCAGTCTGGACTTTGGGGAGACCAGTCTAGAACCTTCATTCCAGCCTGATGGAACCATTTCTTCACCACTTTGATGTGTGTTTGGGCTCATTGTCTGGTTGGAACATCCAACTGTGTCC